CGGTTGAAATGACGACCGAATATCCACCTAGTACCACTTTACAATAGCAATACAAATTCACTGAATAGGGTATGCTGTCACGATATTGTGCAGGCTCTTCTTCTAAATTTTCATGAAGCTTCTTATTTTCTTGGGAATTTGATGGTAGCTCGTCCTTCCCAAGAGCTGAAAGCCGTTCCAGCAACACAAGGACATCCACCTGACGGCTGTCGGGTATTCTGACTGTCATTGTGTCCCGTTGTTCTTCATGGAAGCAGCGCACAGCGTTCAGTTTATGTTCAGACGGCTTCTTTGGATGGTACTCCTGCCAGATGTGTTCTACTGTCGCAGCTCAAAATTTTGTCAGCAAGACTGCGTTCATACTTTGCGGCAGCGTCCAAGCGTCCACTAGCGTCCGCCAGCAACCGTCAAAGACGCGAGGGACTAGGAAAGTAGGGATATCGATCCAGCGTCTGCCAGCGTCCACCAGCAACCAGGAGTAGAGAGTATGGGGAAGTAAGAGGGTAGCAGACTACTGGTAGAGTATGGGGAAGTAGGAGGGAGCAGATAGCTGGATTATGCGTCGTGAAATTGTAGACTGTGCAATAATAATAGACAGTAACACGCCGGTGGTCGCTGGTAGACACTAGATCGATGTTTATACTTTCCTGGTCTTTCGAAACGTTGGCGGTCGCTGGTGGATGCTGCCGCAAAGTATGAACGCGGCCAAAGCAGCGACCGTGACGAAACCGCGAGGAAACCAGGGTCCGCGGCAATGCCCAACTTCCATTTTTGAAGGTTAGTATGGTAGTTATACTACTAGCTCTCCCCATTTCGAATGGTGAGAGTGAGGTGATGAGGGGATAGAGTTGACACTAACAGAACTCGTCCGATCGCGCCGTTTCGGGCGCAAAAACGCGGTACAGCTTGAGATTCTACAGTAGTATCGGACTAGTTTTTTTTTGCATTTTTCTTAATTATCGTGTTATTCACCACCTTGTCGTTAGAAATTGCCGCACAACTGACCATTTTTGAACGTGTGGCGGCGTAGCATGAATTCCTCGTTCTGGTCCTTCGGAGATGCCTACCTGCCTTGCTTTTAAGGCAGTTGACACGACTAAATCCCTAGGACGAGTAGGATTCGCCTGGCAGACGGAATTTCGCTACTCTGAGCAGGTGCTGTGTAGGGTCTTTCCCAGGGAAGGTATCCCTTATAAGGACCCTATCAAGCACAACATACCGACCCCGCTCACCCGACGGAACGGAAACTCGTCCGAAACCGCTCTGCGAGTCATGAAGATCGAAGGCTTTTCCCGCAACGTTTTGACCCTTTCACACGGCTTTTTTTCCATTTTCCAACTGAATAGCGCCCTGCTAGCATTTTAGGCCGAGTACTAAATT